TTTCTACCAACTGCAATCTTCCACTCCACACTTGGTACATCGACGACGGAATGTTCTGCGGCTCCCCTCACGAGGTCGTCAAGGCCCTCGCCATCATTAATACACATTCCGCCGCAATTGGACTTTCACTTAATGAACAAAAAACCGAGATCTGTCCACTTCATTGTTCCATCCCATTCACCCATAACTTCCTTACAACCGAGCTATCATCCCTCACTCATCTCGGCTCACCTGTCGGTGGCTTGCAATCCATTAATCACTTCTTCTCTAACGCATCATCTAGCTTACTTCATTTCAAAAACATCTCTAAATTTCTCCCTCGCCATCAGGCTTTTTTTCTCCTCAAAAACTTTTACTACATTCCTAAAATTCTTTACGCTCTTCGATCCACCTCAATCTTTAAATTTCCCGACTCACTAAAATCTTTTGAAACTTCCGTCAAATCTCTTGCCGAAGAGATCCTTAATCTTCGCTTCAACCATAATTCATGGCTACAAGCATCACTTCCATGCAAGCTCGGAGGCATCGGCTTACGCTCACCTTTAACTCTTTCCATCAGTGGATTCATCGCCTCCCGCCTCTCATCTCACTCACACATTAGCCAGCTTTCTCACTTTCCTGACCCATTATTAGCTGAAGCCCAGACCATTTGGGACAATTCCGTTGTCCCAAACACTCCTCGACCCTCCTCCTGTTTACAGAGAGACTGGGATACTCCACTCAACGAAGGCTCCGTCGCTTACCTAAAATCGAGCCTTCATGACGACGATCTCACAGTCTTTCACCAATTAAACCAAGGATCGGGTTACGAGTTTCTGGAAACTATACCCTCCAACAACCTCGACTTATTGCTGACCGCTGACGAGCTAAGATTTGCCATTGGATTACGGCTCAATTGCGAAATTGTTCTACCATACCAAAGCAAACACTGCGAAACCAGCGTCGATCGCAAGGGCAGACATTGCCTCCATTGCCGCTTTTGACGAGGCCGTTTTCCACGGCACACCAATTGCAATGACATCATATTGCGCGCTCTCAAATCCGCAGGCATTCCATCAAGACTTGAACCGACCGGCATTTTTAGATCCGACGGAAAACGTCCTGATGGAATGTCTTTGATCCCTTGGTCAAGGGGCCAGTTACTAGTCTGGGACTTCACCTGCATAGACCCAAATGCACCATCCAACCACAACGTCGACGCCCTCGCTATAGCAGAAACTCGTAAAACTATCAAATATAGTTCCATAGACCCCTCTTTCTTATTCATACCTATCGCCTGCTCTACTCTTACCACCTTCGGTAGCAAAGCTCTAAGTTTTTTTAAAGAATTAGGCAAACGGATTCGGGAAAAAACCGATCAGCCTAAAGAGTCCCTTTTCTTACGACAAAGACTTGCTACCGCCATCATTCGCTCTAACTACCTAAGTTTCATCTCTTCCATTGAATAATCTCCTATGTCTATGCTCTCTCTCTCCCTTCTCTTTCCTAGTTTCCATTCTTTTATCCCTTACCCTCTTTCGCAAAATATATTTTTATATTTTTTTTACCTTTATTAATTTTACCATATAAAAAAAATTATTATTTACTATAAACTTTTGATAACATATTATATCAGCAAAAAATATATCGTGTTAAAAAAATATAAGACATTTATTTATATTAAATTAAATTAAAAAAAAATTTATCATAAAATTTAGAACAAACGTGAACGCGTTCTATTTTTGTCAATGAACGTTGAATGCCAACGCGTTCCGTTTTTTTAGAAATGTTTACACCACTAGGTAAGTCATTCTTCATGCCAAAAAAAAATATAAAATTTATATAATAAAAAATATATATTATATTATAATTACATGAAAAAAAAAATGTTTTATTTTATACAAAAATCATTTTGAAAAAAGGAAACATTTCACCCTAAAGATGAGTGAATACTTAAGAAAAGGTAAAATCTTTTGCTGGGATCACTTGTAGTAAGCCTTCTTTTTATGCCGATGTCTTTATATTAGAGCCTTTTTTTCGAACCTAGTGTGTTAGTGACTACTGATATAAAAACTGTTGGTGAGGTCAACGCAGGTATAGCCATAGCAAATTTTTTTGAATATAAAAGGTTTTTAGGAATTGTGAATTGTAAAGTTTTTTATTTCAAATATTATATTCTATTTTAAATTTCAGTTAAAAGGCAAGATTAATTTTAATATTTCTTCCCTCCACGAAAATTGAATGTATATTTTCTTGAATTTTTTTAAAACCTTAAATATTGATGGATACAATATAATTTTATCAACCAAAAAAATAATTAATTTATCTTTTCTATTATAATAACTATGATCATGCAACATTTCTAGAATGTATAAAATGTACAGATATCTAAAGAGACAGAATTTTCTGAATATAATAATTTGTTTCATGCTACATGAAGAAAAAATATGCCCGACAAGATGGAGCCCTCGACTTTAGGCTGCTGCTGCATTTATAGATCAAATGCTCTTGGAGAAATATTAGAATGACCTGAATGAGACACTTTATCTGAAGCATAGATTAATAGATTCACAGCCGATTTTTTTTCTCTATTAGAATTTGCTAATAAATTACTTCATTACAGAACAATTTTATGAAACGTTTTTCAAAATTATGATATGGATATAGTTTTATGAGAATCGCGATTATTATTATAACTTAGAAAACTATAAGATATTATCGGCAGATTTATACGATTTAAGTGATTGCTGAGGCAACAGCGAAATTATATGATAATGAGATTCGCAAACTTGATAAACAGAAACAAATGATTTCTTTAACGTGGACTATTACTTTAAAATAACCGTTGTTATTCCACTTTTGGATACATTTATTATTCAAATAAATGAACCATTTGTGTTACATTAAATGAGTTTATCCAATTTACCAAAACTATTATATACAAATTATTCGGAGGATTTATTAAATCTTGATGTTAAAAACTTAAATATTTATCTAAATTTTAGTCAGAGCTGAAGGCCTATTAATTTCAGAATTTAAAACTTGATATGAAGGATTCATTTTATTAGATAATCATCTATAAAACTAAAAGTGGGCGCGGGTCGCAAAATTATGCGTGACACAATTGGTCACGGCGTGAATGTGAATATATTATAAATTATTAGGGGTAAATTTCCAGTGAATCACATGAACTTTAATATTTAAAATTGTTTTTTTTTATGAATATTGCAATTGTATAATTATAATATAAATTAATTCTTTTTGAAAAAAGAATAATTTTTGAAAACATAAAAAACTTCCACATTTTATAAACAACATTTTCTCGTCTTATAAAATTTCAATTGAATGAAAAATTATAAATCAATTTGGTAATAAATAAATTTAATTTATTTTATTTTACTATATATATACTAATTATTTGCACTCAAATTATAATCAGTCAAAATATATAGGAAGATTAAACATCTTAATAACTTATTGTTTAAATTTTCTCATATTTACATACAAATCTAAAATACTAATATAATTGTAATTGTAATAGAAATAGAAATAACATTGCTTGTTTGATTTATTTATATTAGAGAACAAATATTTTAATTTATTAATATTTTATTACTCAATATAATTAAATTTTTTAAAATTAATAAGTTAACTTATCAATATTTTATAAGTTAATATTTAAATTTATATTTAAGTCACTTTTTGACTTAAATAATATATATGATGTTATAATTAAAATATTAACGTCAATGATGTATATATTTAATTGACAATTCATTAATTAAAAGTAAAATACAAAGGAGTCAGCTGTAGCGCCATTTTATGGTTTGCAAATTAATTGTCTTATCAATCATCATAAAGTACATTAACAGACATAAAGCGTAAACCTAATTTTAAATGCATTTAATGCACGAATAACTATTAGTGAATTTACATCAATGATATATATTTTTTATATTTCTATAATCTCTTAATAATAAATAAGATAATACATCTAAATAGAGGATGATTAAAGCATTGCTGGAAAATTATTGAAAATATAGATTAAAATAATTTGTTCTATACCTATCTTATATTATGTATTTTAAAAAGAGTTATTTATAGACCAAGGCTAAGCATAATAATTATGTTCCCAATTTTGATAAAGAATGGATAATTTTTTCTCAAATGAAAACATGAATTCAGGTATCCATGGACAATTTTTAATACGTGTTGTTTAAAACATCTTTTTCAAAAAAAAAACAAGATAAGAAAAAGTTGATAATAAATTTGGGTTTTAATAATCTCAAATTCAATTTATAGTGTCAGCTTTGGTAAAAATAATTTCTTTATTTTTACAATTTCATACTTTTCCGAGGATATTGTTTCCCTGGGAAATTTTACGAGAGTTTCAAGATTCATAAATGGCATCAAACATAATTAACGGTAATTAATAAAATCAATCGGAATAACAATATTTAAATTAAATTAACTATTTAATTTTAAAATACCATTAAATCTAATTTTAGGCTATTTGATCAAATTAATTTGTATAAATTATGAAAGTATATGTTATCTTTTTGAATGCTAAATTGATTAAAATATACAGATATTTAAAAAAATTGTATCGCAGACTCAAGATTTATGATTTTTTAAAAAAGTTTAAAAAGAGTATCCTGTATTTTCGATATAAATATCCCCGATGCTGCTCAACCTATCTAATGGCTCTAACCGATTGCAAATATTTCAATGCACTAGGTACTAAAATATAAACTGTCAAATTTCCGTTCAATTTACTATTTATAAAATTATTTATGAAATGGGTCTATACGTTTGACTCGGTTTTGTAATAATACCATTCACGTCAATATTTCATATAATTTTAATATATTTTTCTAAACCTATTAGTTAAATATTATATTTAAATTATTAAATTTTTTAAAATTATGTTTTACTTTATATCTAATTAAATATTACCTTTATATTAGTATTTAAATGTTGCATAAATTATTATTTAAATTTTATATAAATTTGGTTTGGTATTTCATGTTTGTATCCACCATCCTTCTCTATTATGACGCGAAATCAGCTGTGGATATATAGGCCCACAACCATTTTTTATCAATGCAAGCATTGGTTCTAAAAAAAGTTCACGATTTAATCATTGTAAAATTACATTACAAGTCTTTATACACATTTTAATATAGGAAGAACGTGATATTCCGGAACCAGGAGAAAATGGTAATCCATTTAATTTAATCAAATATAAATTCTGCTTTTCCTATGAATAAAAAAGAAGTTTTAATAGAGACAGCATATGTAGGCATTTGTGGATCTGATGTGCATTATTGGCAAGAAGGTAGGATTGGAGATTTTGTTTTAAATAAACCTATGATCATGGGCCATGAAACAAGTGGGGTTGTTTGCAAATTGGGATCACAATTAGTAAATCCATTGCAGATTGGTAATAGAATTTATACTTTATTTGAGTTTGATTGAGTATATATGCATTTTAAATCTCTTGAAATTAAGATATCCATATATTTTTAAACCTTGAAATATGCATGTTTGGGATTTTTCTTGCTAAAAATAACAATGAATCAGGCCAGGCAAATTGTCTAAAATAATTTTTGGTGCCAAAAATTTTATGTGCTAGGATAAAAAAATCTTTTGCAGCTCCTGGGCTATGAAACAGGCATTCTTCCATGGAGGGAAAAATTATGTTCAACATTATTGGGTTAATAGGGTGTAATATGGCCATTAGCTTGGGATGGGAGTGGGGTGTATAAGTGCCAGCAATGATGACTCTAATTTATTTATCATACAATAAAATATTTAAAGTATTTTTCTTTAAATCTATGATTATCATAAGAGTGAAATTAAAAGTCAGCTGACAATTTTCAAATATTGTTTTTTCAAATAGAAAAATATACCTCCTAAATTTTGTTAATAAATTTTTTGTAATCAGGCCAAGTATAAAATTTATTTTGGGCTGACCTGGACAATTTATGCAAAATATTTTATGTTTAAAGATTATAATTAGAAAATTTATGCCATTTCAACATAAAAAAATTATTAATGGCTGGGCTAGAAAATTTTATACACAAATATTTTATAGGTAAGCTGGGCTATTTCAAAAATTTCCATAGGTCTGGACTTGTAAAATTAACAAAATTATTGCATGATATTTCTGTTATTCTCCAATTCAATATCCACTCAAATCTGACATTTTAAATGATTTGTTTTTTCTATTTTAATTAATTTTTTTATGGTATATGGTCTCATTAATTTGCACTTTAACAGACTTTGAAACAGGGCTGTGAACCCTCCTTCTAAAAAAAGGGTTTGGAGTGAAAAATTTCTGAACCTGGTATGAGTTCAAGTGGGTTCAGGGTTTGGAGACCAAAAATAATGACTTATATAGATTAGTTAAAATAACAGAAACATCATTTTTTAAAAAAATTTATTTTAATTATATTGCTTTAAAAATAATTTTTCATCATACCAGCCCTTTGTTTGAAATGCTCTAAAAATAAAAAGAGATAGTTAAAAAATTTTTGTCTATGCTAACTAAAACAAGATTTTTGATCAAATTTTACTTAAAATTCTAATATTCTTTTGTTTAATCTTTTATACATCAAACTAATAAATTTTTGAATTCCCATGAATATCTTGGTAAAATATTTGACCTCACTCTTTCACCCCTAATGAAAATATTTACCACCAATACTTTAATTAAATTAAGTAACCCACCATATTTTATAAAAATATCTAAAATTTAGGTTCATTTTCAAAAAACTATTGGGTTTTTATCTTAATTTAAAAAATAAATGCATTCTACCAAAAAGAATTAGAAAAAATGATACATGAAAAACATTATATAAAGCCTCATCTAATTTTTTCCTAACCCTAACATCTTTCATTATTTAAAAATAATAGGCGATAGAGTATGTATAGAACCAGGTGTGCCTTGTAGACATTGCTCCTTGTGCAAGGCCGGAACTTATAATTTGTGCCCTCTTGTTAAATTTCACGCCACTCCTCCTTATGATGGTACCTTGAGACGTTATTTCGCCCATCCTTCAGATTTCTGCCACAAGTTTGCAAAATTATATAAGTTTTTTTAAAGCTGTTCTACTTTTTTAAGCACAACAGTTAGTTGTTTTTGTGGCCTGAAAATATCTAAGTGATAACTCAAACTCTCTCGAGAGTGATACATATTATGTATTCGAATTGAGCATTTCACACAATGACGTAATCTGTATGAATAATATTATATTCCAACCAATCACGCTAATACTAATCTAGACTGGCTATTTAATCATTAAAATGCAAAAATTATACTTATATTGAAGTCCACCATTGAAAGACATTTAGATGAAGTGATGGCGTCTACTATAGTCAAAATGTCCAACTGAACCTCGCAGGCGATATAATTTTTCGCACCATAATCGTTATTTTAAAAATTTGTAAAATAGAGAACCAAAAAATGATAAATTACTTTCGAACGAGTTTAAATCAGTTCATATTTCCCTATATGAATTTGTTAACTGGAACGAACCAATATAAATATTTGAAAATAACCGGAATAGAATTGAACAGTTGTCTATTGGTTCGACACCCTGACTAGCTGACTTCAATGTACATACTCTTTTAATGAATGATTCATCAGCGAATGTCATCGATTCAAACTTAAGAATCGAAATTTTTAACATAAATACTCAATTCTTTGTAAAAATTTAAAGCATCCTAGTGATGTAATGGGCAGTAGTTGCTAAAAACTTAGATTTCGTTGTTTTTTAAAAAAAATCAGCTATATATTATTTTTTTAGCATTATTAGACGTAATAGGTTAAAGGGGGAGGGGTAATAAATCTGAATTTTCGGGGTTTTAATCCCGTATCAGGGAATTCTCCTTCCTTTTCCACACATTTCTTATAGTGCACACAAATTGAACGTTTCAACGCAGCGTTTTAAAACGCAAATAATGCATTTTAAATGTATTCGTTTAAATTGGACAGCATTTATTGTTTTGTTTTAAATTTAGACGTTTCATATTAAGAAAAATAAAATTAACCGTTTTTTAATTTGCGTTTTGAAACGCTACGTTGAAACGTTCAATTTGTGCGCCCTATTATGCAAGCTAGTGAGGGTATATGAGCATGAAAAATCTTGAAAGAAATCTAAATTATAACAAAAAAGAAAATCTTCTTGGCTTACTATTAAAGAGATAACTTTAATCATATGTAAAATTTACAAGTTTTATTGATTTGTACAAATAAAAATGGCAAATAATTACTTTTGCCAAAAAAATTTAAGCCGGTGTCCTTCAATTATTAAAAATACAAATTAAAATATAAAAACGCCATTAATTTTATTCAGCCATTTTTAGTTAACTTGTTTATATTGATCTCGCGCGTCATTTTAAAATATCGCCTTCTTAACCCTTCATAGCACAGTTGAATAAATCACACGAAAGATTAGATGGGGATCTCTGGACCCCAATTTAGATATTACTTGGCATCTTTTTAAAAATTTAAATATGAAAAAAGGAAATTATTTTTTTAAAAAAATGTTGTAAAATAGCAATATACCAAAATTTATGAATTAAATGAGGATGATGAAAAAAATTCGAAAAATGGATTATTTTTTGTGTTAATAAAGTGTTGTTTAAAATAAAATAGAAATACGATTTTAGGGAACTTTGAATCGAAACAAATAATAAATAGAAAACAATTAACACAAAAAATAGTCCTTTTTAATGTTAATAATTTTTGAATCAATTCGGAGATAAGAAATTGCAATTTTCGCTGTATACTTGTATAGCAATAAATTTCATATTATTTTATAAGCATGAAATCACGAGGTTCAAATTTGTTTACAAGCATTTCAGGTTCGATAAGATAAATAACGGTTAATGCCAGTTTAAAGGTTTAAGTTGGGCTTGGATCCATGGGTAGAAAAGTTACCTTGTGAATTTTAAAAATAAGTCTCATGAACTATAAACCTAATATAGTTTATTCATAATTTTTTATATAAATTACAAGTAACTTAAAAGTTTACAGCAAAATGGTCTCAATAGTCAAGACAATGGCTCCTGCAACATAAAAAGGGGGGGGGGTACAGCAACTGTTTTTTAAAATTTGGAAGGGAATACTTTTTTTTAAAAAATAATTTTATTATTTCATTTATTGTTTTACTACACCCATCCATAATCAAGATATTTCCTGTCTTCTCATAAAATTATTTTTCCAATTTCAAAATATGCCCAAAAATACAAAAATTGCACATGGTATAGTTTAAGAGATGAGAAATGGACGATAGAAAAATACATGATGATCTATATTTTAAGGATATAAAAGAAAAGCTTTTTGAAATAGTAGCTTTTAAAGATCACAGAATGGAATAACAGCAAGGCAATTTTTTATATATTAAATATATAATTATTTATACTAAAACTAAAGAGTTGATTATAGGGTTGCTAGATTCTGTTTAACGGAATAGAGGACATATTTTTTTTAAAGATACTTTAATAGAGCATTTAAATGTATTTAAAAAAATTTAATTGATTTTTAAGCAATCATTGCATTTATATAGCAATAACATTAATAGTTATAATTAAAATCGAAAAAACCATATGACTTACAAATTATATTATTTTTATTCCATATTTTTTCATTTGCAGATATTTTCGCCTTTTCTTTAAAAATTTATAAAAATTTTAGCATAAAAAGTATCGATTTAAAATTATATTGTTGGCATATAATTGCTCTTATAAGAGTCCACGGATAATCCATTCCTCTCATTTGTTAATTTACTCTCGATTAAAGAAAATATTTTTTTAACGATAGTCTTATGAGTCGTTATAGCAAAAATAAAACTTACTATAATTAGTAGTTGTAGTTCGTTATGTCGTTCAAGGATTGGAATATCAGAAATATTTGGTCGTGAATAGGAAGTTTTTTTTAATATTCTATCCTACACCATTTTATTTTTCAAAAAATCTGGAAACATTTTATAAATTTGACCAAAGATCAAAATATATATATACATTTAATAATAAATTATTTTTTATTGCATCCAAGGATTATTCTATCCATTTTTAATATTTGTTTATATATCGCTTTTACTTGTGGAAGAGAAGAGGACAAATTAAAGGAAAATAAAAATAGATAACCGACATATTTTTAGACATCTCATAAGAGGACGTCTGATAAGTCTAATTGAGTACAACAGGAAGAAAAAGAACTTACACGCATTAATCTGAGTAAGAAACAAGCTGAAGCTGAAGAACCACAACCAAATTTTTTAATAACGCAAGCAAAACCACGAAGGATTATTTTCAATTACAACATTAAAATTTTTTTAAAATATTATATTCTATTTATTTTAAAATTATTAGACAAAAAATATTATTTCTTTTGAAATTTCCCATTTTCTCCCTTTTAAAACATGTAATCACCTTAATATCAATTAAATACATGAATATTTGTTAGGAACTTGTAGTCCCAATTCTGTTTTTATAGAATGAATGATTGGAATATGATTATATGTATATTAAAAAATTAATAAAATTTAATAGTAAAAAAATAGAATAAAATACATGGCAGAATTTATAACAGATACATAATATAACAATCTTTTAAACCCTAGTATAAATTATTTGATTGGCATATGACATAATATACATCTACGACACGCATAATTTATTTGATTCGCTTATGATATTAAATAAATGTAAATCTACGACACGCCCACTCTTTAAAGGCCGCGTATTAACATTAAAAAAAATTATTATTACATATAATTTAAAAAAAAAATTTCAATGGTTCATTTTTAGTCAGAGTTTATCGGCTGAAATTATCCCATACGTAAATCATTTTCAATTGCTCATTTAGAGTCTGAGCTCTTCGGCTATTATAATTCCATAAGTCTTCCGACATTCGATTATTTACCAGCCAATCAGGGGTTTAATGAAGCATTTATGATATGCATATTTTTTAAAGGACGGACAATTTCGTAAAAATTTTAAATCAGGAACTTGATGTAACATTGTACTAATATTAAAGCAGGGTCTTAATCAAATTATTATTATACGGCGATAGATTAGAATATAATTTAGATTTTAATCCCTTTTGTATTTTCTTCTTTTTGTATATATACAATTTTAGGACATGTTGCGATACTGCCATAAGTTTACTAAGACCTATCATATTGTCTAAGACCTATCATATTGTCTTAAGACCTATCATATTGTCTTATTGTTGTGTGTTCCCTCAGACGAGATATCAAATAACCAAGACTTATTATTCATATGATAATTCACGCATTTTCTTGAGTAGTAGAAATTTTAATACGAAATTTTTGTTGTGGAGAAGTTTTCCATAATCGGCCATCATATGTGCCTGTGAAGATTCATGCACAATAATATCACGATTTATCATTTATCTAGACCATCTCAGGTGCCAAATTTGAATTTGAGTATGGACTCCCAATTAAGAGACACGTTAAACAAAACACTTTATTGATTTTGATACTGTAGGTAATCCAATTTCTAATAATTTTGCTATTGTCCATATTAGTTTAAACTTTCATTAAAAGATCTTTTACTATTATTACTATCTTTGGGGAATAAATAATGTTTGGGTTGGGGAGACCCTAATTCTAGATATAAATGCTTAAAAAAATAAGTAGAATATAATCCAAACGAATAAAAAGTATAATATATATTCATATATGGTTAATTCCATGGCAAATCAACCTAAGTTTCAACCCCCCTCAGATTTTTCTAAAATTTTTACTAGAGTTTGCAAAGAAAAAATAAAATTTTAGCCTCCAACTCCAAACAGCGGCTGATACACGGGCCTCTAGAGTCTAGACATCTAAAGAATGGTATATTTTGGGGAAATTTATTTTCATTTAATTTTAAATATCTTTGGATACAATTAAGCTAGAAGCGTCACTTGACTTTTTTATATAGCCTAATGGGAAACTTTTAAAGTTATATAATAAAAAATTATAAATGTTAATAACCGGAAATCATAGCCCAGCCTGGATTTTTTAAAAAAATTTTTTGGCTCGCCCCGTGTTTTATATTTTCCGGCCCGGCCTGGATTTTTTAATGGCGATTTAAAATAAGAAATCTTAGATTCAATTAATTTTTAAAAAGCAAATATCAATGAAAAAAATATCTTGTTTAAAGTCAAACCCTTTCCCGGAATAGAAAAGTTTCATGCTCTATGTCACTTAAGGAAAATTAAGATAAAGGTTAAATTATCTTCATTATTGTATTAAATTTACAATATATAAAAATTAAATTTTGTTTTCAGTAAATTATGGTCAAAAATTAATTTCTATTTTTTAGTTATTTTTATGAAGAAAAGTTTCCAGATCATAAATAACTATTCTTTTATAAAACATAAAATATTAAATAGCTTTTTATTTTATAATATAATGATTAATATCATATATTTATTAAGAATATTTGCAATAGTTAATAATTAAAATGCCATATCTCATAAACTTGAGGTCGGCCCAACTTGAAAATTTGCTCATTTATTCATTAATCCTATATTTATGCATAAGAAATTGATAGAAAAAAAATACTGATTTGGTTTTGTGATCATTTCCGGTTTTTGACTACAAAAATTTTTTCAACATATAACTTTAAAGGCCTACTATTAGGCTTTATAAAGAAATTTAAATGACGCTATTAACTCAATTATATCCAAAATATTTAAAATTAAAGAGAGAGTATTTTGCCCAAAATGCCCTTTCTACCTTTAGAAGAGAAGCCCGTATCTCAACCTCTGTTTGGATTAGAGGCTAAAATGTTAGTAAAAATTTTGGAAAAATCTGAGAGGGTCAGGTTGAAAATAGTATTTTTTTTGTTGATTTGTCATGGAATTCATTATATATAACATTAAATCTGTGTTTAACTACGTTTGTTGTTAGATCTTAATAGCTCATTACATAATTCTCAATCCCACAACGCCTGATTCAGACTGCATTTCTCCTTGATTGGCGTTCTCTTCTGTATGTTTATCATTGACAGATAATAAATTTAAAAGAAATAACATAAATTTACTAATAAACATTACTTGTTTTTCTTGAATTTTTTATTTAGCAAAAGTGTGTGAAGTTTCTTTTGAAATATATTTTGCCTATAAATAAATATATATAAAAAATTTTTTTAAATGTTGTATACTTAAAAATAATCCTTTATGGTTTTTCTTTTATGTGATGTTAAAAAAATTTTGTTATGGTTCTTAAGCTCGTTCTTGTTCCATACTGAGATTAATGGTGTGTAAGTTCTTCCTGTTGTATTCATTAGAATTTGACAAAAACAAATTAATATTTATTATCAGTAGATAAATAATAGGTTGTTCTTGTTCTATGTCTTCCTATAAAAAATATTGTAGAATAGATATTTAAAAAAAGAGTAATTAACTACCTTCATGTTCATCAATTTAATGATCATAGATACTATACTTTCTCCTAACACATCTTCTTTATTAGTAAACCTTTAACAAACAATTATATTAATAAAAATATTTATTGTAAAAACACCATTGAATTACCAATTTTTACTTCTTTTTTCTTACATAGTGTCTTAATACCCTTTAAGATTGGTATAGACAATTATATATTTAATATAAAAAAAATCAACCCGCTGTTAATTCCAATTCTGTGTAATGTCTTTAAAAGCTACTAAAAGCTTTTTTTTAAAATATCGTTAAATTTCCATGTCTTTTTCTAATATGGTCTGTCCACTTAAATTATGCTATGTGCAATTTTTAATATTGGGCATATTTTGAAATATGAAAAGACAGGAAATATCTTTGTTACAGGATGGGTTTAGTAAAACAATAAATGAAATTAAAATTATTTTTTTCAAAAAAAGTATCCCCTCTCCCGTTGTAGGGACCACTGGTTTTGGTTAAGGCTTTACCAGTTTCAGGAGACAGGTATTTTGAAACCATAGACCAAACAAGAACCGATATATGGACAACTCTTCAAGCCCGGTTTAATATAAACTAGGGGCGGGTTGGGACAACTCTCAGAAAGTCGGATCGGTTCTGATTAAGTTTCTGTAAGCATAATTTCTGTTAAAGTCTGAACCTAATTTAGGCTCACACCCTTTATTCCCTTCCTTCTGATTGCGTAATCTTACCATTTGTCGGTTACTATAATTGAAGCCTAATAATTCCTTATACACCGTTATCAAAATGTAGGGTAATATCGCCAACGATGGAGTTTAACCATAAATTGCACGATAAGTCATGTAGAAAGAAATAATAAAATAAATTTATAAATCGAGAATAAAATAAATAATTATAAAATGAAAAGAAAAATAAATTAGTAAAAAAATTTTTTTTTTAAACGAAATTTTAGGATTCCCGCTGAAATGAATATGCAGATGGCAGCTTTGGTGGAGCCTATGGCCGTAGGCTATTTTGCCTTATTGCGTTCTCGTATGCCATTCGGCGGTACTGTTTTGATATCCGGAGCGGGGCCTATCGGCCTTTGCTGCCTCATTTGTGCTATAAACATGGGAGCTTCCAAGGTGTATATAACAGGTTTTTTTAAAAAAAAGATGTCTCCAATATTTATACTTCTTTTTAATTTTAGAGACTCTTACAGGGTTGTCAGGTAAAATTATTTCAATGTGGAAGATTTTCGTAAACTCTTTTTCCATCATAAATAATCAACTAATAATAGAAAAATAGATGACGATTTATTTCGTTATGCAATCAGTTTCCCCCTGGGTTTATCATTTTTAAACCAATACAATTTCAACATATGTAATTAGGTCTCATAATTGTTTTGAAAGCCATGCGCTCCATTGTAAATTCATAATTTAAAAAAAAATAATACTAATTATGGATTTATTTTTTAAATATTTATAAAAACATAGCTCTTTAAAAATGTTTTTAATAATGATCGTTTTCTCATTTTAAAATTTATACAAATTAGCCAATATAATATGGCCGCTAATTATATAAGATCTCGTCTTTTATTGGTTATCAAATAAAACCTGACAAATTTAAGAACAAGGGGGATCAAGTAGAAAGAGGTAATAGAAAATTTTGATTTTAAAATCGATTATATTTTTATAATTTTCCAAAACTGAAAAAAATTAGAATGTGGGAAATTTTGTGGTATATTTTGGGAATTTTATAAATGTGGTTGTTGAATTAAGTGTTTATAGATTTCGACTTTTTAATAAAATTGTAGTAGTATACTAGTCATTTTGGCAGCCCTGGATAATGTTGTTAATTGGCTTGATTTGAGCCGATTTTTAAAAACGGTTAAAATATTTTAGCTAGAAGAATATTGCCTAAGTTTCGAGATTTCGTTAAAAGATGTCCAAACCCTTGTGCCATGTATGAGCAAAATTTTCAGGCTTGCATAATAATTTTCTGGTTAAAATATTGACTTTAGACGTTTTAAAAAATAGGCTCAGATTGAGCCGTTGACCTATATAAGATCTGGCAACCCTGCTCATGAACACGTGCAAAAATTTTTCTTTTTGTTCAGCTTTATTATTGATATTATTAATTTTTTTTCAAACCCCCAAAATATTGTTTTTATGGGAAATGGGATACTTTTTTAAACAATAAGTAATCTTTTTTGATGGAAAATTTTTAATTCTATCTTTTCCATATAAATTTAGACTTATTAAAATATCATCCTAGCTTTTAAAATCTAGTTAGTTCATATTTCCTTTAAAATAAGTGTAGGCAAACATTAAAAATAAAGTAAAAGCTTAAATATAATTATTTTTTTTCAATTTTGTTGTTTTATCAAATATTTTTTGAGATTTTAATGGTCAAGAAAAGCCTCAAATTCTTATCATTTTGGACCTTCCAATTAGAACATTTCATCTTATAAGTTATATTACGATTTTTAAAAAAAATTTAATATTTTATATCATAAATTTTTGACATGTCAAAGTTTAATTTAGGCTAGATAATTTATTTATTTCAATTAAATCCTGGTTAAAACCGTTAAGATATGCTGGAAAATAGGCTTAAAGCTGCTAAACTTTTGGGAGCTGATCACACATTGCAGATAATACCTTCTTCCCCGGATACTTTTAACCTCACATTCGCTGATAAAGACGCCAATGACCCTAATAAAAACCGATTTGAAACTTTTTTCGAAAAACATGATAGACCAGATGTCACCTTTGAAGCAACTGGTTCTGAAAGCGGGATAGAATTGGCTCTCAAAGTTTATATATATAATATTTTTATTTAGCGATAATTTCGTTCAATAGAAGTAGGAGAAAGAAATAAAACAGAAGGAATTAAAGAGAAAAGAATTATGAGAATTTTATGTGCAGACAGAATTTTCATTTTCGAAGCAAAAAATGAATTAAAAAAAAATGATTCTCTTTTTTCTCTCACGCATATCAATTATTTTAAAAAGGTTCTGATTTGGGGGTTTTCGGTTATTGTTTTTTTCTTTTTCACAATATATTATATATAGGGGAAATGTGACATGAATGGCTATGTTTTTGTTTTTCAAAAAATGGCATTAAGATTTGGATTTAACCAAACAAATTTTTTATCAATGTGTAGCCCAATTCTTAATCTTTAAAATAAAATTTAAATCAAAGCTCATCTATATTAGTTGATTTTCAGCCAGTCAAAACATGGTATGTTCTGGCCATATACTATGTGTTAACTTCCATTATAAATTATTTAAGAATTTTATTTTAAATATTACAATATGAAATGCTTGTAAAAGACATATGTTAATATTTCTTCTTTTTTTAGATATATAAAAGTTTAATTATACATTAATTTAATTAATATTTACATCTAAGTTTATCACCATCTATTTAATGATAATATTTTATAAATTAATATCTTGATTATTTTTTTGTTAAACATTTTTGTTTTAATATAAAATTAACCACTATCCATCTATTTAAATGATTTTATAAATTATTATTTTGACTATATCAAAAGATTAACAAAAATTGGCAAATACATCACCAATATTACTTTATCTATCTATTCAAATGATTTTATAAATTATTATTTTAACTATATCAAAAGATTTAAACAAAAATTGGCAAATACATCACCAATATTACTTTATCTTTATATTTTTTTATGTTGATTATAAACAAGGTGACTAAACCTGGAGGAAAGCTGATATGCATAGGCTTTTCGTTTCATCCCACCAAAATCAAAGTTGCTAACATTATCGTCAAGCAAATCGATATCCTGGGCATTTTTCGATACGCTAATTGGTATATTCCTTTTTATTATTAATTTTGTTTTATAAAAATGTTACAAATCAACCAATAAAAAAAACTTATTTTTTTTGTCTCAAAGATAAAAAAAAATTAAATGTAACACACTCAAACATAATCCAGTACCAGCGACTAACCCTTTCACATTTGCACTAATTCGTGGCCAATTAATTATATTTATATATTTCGCCGCGAATTCGCTCTAACTATGAGAGTAATACATTATCATTGATATAAGATTTTTCTTATTTTATTAGTGGGAAATTTGCATTTATATATATTTTTGAAATCTAAAATTTTCAATAATATTAGACATGACATGTCATGATATGTGTTTAATACTTTGTTGAGCCTGTTTTAAATAGTATTTATATCTGGTATTAACTAAAATTATTTTCTAATTTTCGATATTAATCATTATGTAAAATGAAATCAAGTAACAATAAATTTTAATGTATAAATTTATTGTTACAGCTTTCCCCAGACCATTTCTCTTTTACATAATTGCCGAAATAAGGAAGAAATTCGCAAAATCATGATAACCCACATGTTTAATTTCTCAGAAAGTCTTGAAGCTTACACTGTTGCCAAAGAAAATAGTCGGAATAACGCTGTAAAAGTCATGATAAAGGTATCGGATCATGACAAATAACCTAATAATATGATTTAGTAAAAAATTTTTAAATTATCTTTCTCTTCACTCAATAATGTTTTATTAATTACAAAAAATGATAAAATTCTCTTCATAGAGCTTTTCACTATTCATTCCATTTATTATTTATATTATACAAATATATATTTTTAAATTATCTTCTCTTCACTCAATAATGTTTTATTAATTACAAAAAATGATAAAATTCTCTTCATAGAGCTTTTCACTATTCATTCCATTTATTATTTATATTATACAAATATATATATATTTTTTAATTTTCTCGTTCATTCAGTCAATGTTTTTAATATTTTTTGGAATTATTTATGTTTCCTCTCGGACCAATGATGTTTTATTTATTACAAAAAATGATAAAATTCTTTTTATAGAACTTTTTAATAATCATTCCATTTAATATTATATATTTTTTAATTTTGTCGTTCATTTAGTCAATGTTTACAATATTTTTTGGAATTATTCATGTTTGGTGAACCAACCATTTTCATCATTGCCTCCCTTGCAAATTGTAAAATGAATAACATTCCCACATTTATATCATAATCCCCCCTCCCCAATTTGAGGTGGCTATCAATTTATCATTGATCGTCCACTAAGTATTTCCAAGAGCTTTTATTTTAGGTAAATTTAGTAGATTAATTATTTAATCATTGAATTTAAATTATTTATACAACTTGACAATTTATATATTATTTATACAACGCATAATTTTTAAATATTATCGAAAATATTTATTTATTCTTAATATGTACTAAATAAAAATATTATATTTAAAATTATTTTCTTATACAAATCGAAATAAAAAATTATTTTTTTTGTACACTAATTCATATCCTACGTCCTCTGTGAACGCTCATCACTGGGTAATTTACAAAAACAAGCTAATTTTTTAGTAACTACGCGATGCTTATCAATGATTTTACTCAAATAAATGTTGTGTTTCTTAATTTTTGAATTTATATTTTTCTTTTTATATTAAGAATTTTATTAAATGTTTTATAAAAAAAATATTTTTTAATGAGTTTCATTTTTGAAAACGGGGTTTTAACCCGAACGTCGGCTACTATTGTTTTATAAACATGTTCTCGAATAATATAAATATTTTTTGGATTAAATAATGAAAGGACAAAATATTTATAAATTAAATTATAGCCAATATGAGGTTAAACATCCTATTGAAAACGAGAGAAATATAATTTTCAAATTGTTCTCCTGTGAATTTACAAAGAGATAATGTAATTTTCAGGCGACTATTTATAAAATAAAAATACTGGTTTTAGACTTAATCCTCAAAGCTCGGGAAATCCCGGGTTATGATTTTGATAAATAATATTTTCTAGACAATATTTAGAAAAAATACAAAAATTAATAGCGATCACTAGAGAAAGTTTGAAATGATATTTTTTTTTAATTTAAAGACAAATAATAGTTTTTTAAAATAAATGTTAACAGCACTTTCAAAAATTGTTAATATTGATTAATGGTATTCTACATTTTGGTTCATATTTTTAAAACATTTACTTAAAGTATTATTGTTTTACTTATCAGGTCAATTCAACGAAACTTTTATCGCGAAACTCTTTTTAGTGAAACTTTTATCGCAAATGTTGTTCATCAAGAAAGAATTTTAGAGTCATGGTAAATAATATCCCGAAATCTTTTCCGGTAAACATTTACAGCGAAGATAATTGGGAATTTATTTCAGTGCACTTAAGAGCGAAAACCACACGAAAAAAAAGCTTTGTAAATTTTGTTATATTTGTTAACTTCTTCTATCCCAGTGCCCATACCTATCATACGATAATTGAACATCTGTATAAAATTTATTAATATAAGGAGGGTTTAAATAATATTTATTACTAAGATTAGTTATCTATGTTTGGCTTAATTTTATTGAAATAGGATAATTTTTTAAATAAATTTATTTTATTAATTATTTGTAGTATATATATTCTCCACTTCCACAGACAGCGGATACGAATTTCTCGAGGCTTTCCCATTGCGAAACCTTGACCAGCTCTTAAGCAATGATGAGCTACGTCACGCCATCGGTCTTAGACTCAATTGTTATATGGTAATACATCACTGTATCCTCTGTTCAAACATCGGTCAACTCCATAGGCCATCACTCTTTGCTTTGCACTGTAAGCGCTGTAAAGACAGATTCATTAGGCATTTAAAATGCAATGATACTATTGCGCATTGAAACCTGCTGGCATCCCATCAACCCTCGAGCCTACTGGCCTTTACAATTCCGATGGTAAGCGGCCTGATAGTTCTACCATGATCTATTGGAAGAGGGAGGAATTCCTAACCTGGGATTTCTCATATCGATCCTCTTGCCCCATCCAATATAAATAGGGGTGTTCTACCAGGCTAAATATTCACCATCGCTACCCGTTTACTATACATTCCTACCACTAATCGCCACGATTCTAACATCGTTCGGCACTCATGGCCTGGCCTTTTTTAAAGAGCTGGGAAAACGAATCTCTGCTAAGACCGAGGATTCCCAAGAGGGATTCTACTTATTTACTTCAAAGGTTAGCCCTAAACATAATAAAATGCAATTCACTCAGCTTTATAATCTCAATGAACGAAACCCCCTGAATGAACATCCTATAGGATTGACTTAGGCTATTTTGCTCCCAATTATAACGTTGACTCTAAAAGGGAACTTGGATCTCAATTGATAAAGACAGCAAAAATTAATGACTTTATATAATTGTGAATTACTAATATTATATTTTTTCCAATAATTGTGAAAATTATAATTAATTTGTAATTTTATAATCATTTTTGACTTTATACTAAGCTTTCCTATTAATTGAATTTAAAATTCAATAAAAATTATTGTTATATTTTCAAAATTGTAGATTTATGCAACAAAAACTCTTAAAATTGTTATATCATGTAATTCATTCTTAATATTATAATATAATGAATAAAAGATAGAAGTAGGCAAAATACTAGATCCTATTGCCAAACATATAGTATCTATAACAGAAAATAATCTCCTTTTTGACATTTTAAATTAATTTCACTATAAATATAAAAGCCTAATATATCACATATTTTCATTTCTAGAACATAGTATCATTGGCATTTATTTTAAACATTTTCTATATATATTTTTGGCCAAAATAATATATTGTAATCCTGGAGATTTTACTCATAGGAAGCAGAAACGTTTAGACATCTATTTGCCAAATTTCGAGGTTTACATAATATTATTTTGTCTAAAATCCTAATCGTGCCATTAAAAACACTAGTAATTATGGTGCTTCTTTGAAAATTAAAGATATAAAACATAAAATATATTTCTTTAAATACCAATAATTTTTTGCGATTTATCCAAATCCTAAATAGCCAAAATAATATGATATAAACCTGGAGATTTTGCTCATATGTGGCAGAACGGTTTGGACCTCTATTTGCCAAATCTCGAGGTTCACATAATATTATTTTGGCTAAAATCTTAATCGGGCCATTAAAAACACTAATAAATATTTTAGCTTCTTCGAAAATTAAAGATAAAACATAAAATGTAATTTTCTAAATACCAATTATTTTTTGTGATTTATCCAAATTCTAATTCGGGAAAAACCAATTGAGCAAAATTTTTCTTGGAATCGATACATAATGCCATTTCAAATAAACTATATAAAGTCAAATGATAATGTTTCATTCTTTATATTTTACATTTTTAATTGTAATAATACCAACTTAAGCTTTTCTAAGCTCCATCTTTGATATTGAGCGGCCCTTAATCCAATATTTACATCATATAATATGTTTGAATGAATGCTTAAATATTATCTTGTAAAATTAAATTAAATTGACGCTTTGGGCAACATAATATTTTTAAGAATTTTATTTTATTTTTTTGCTATATTGCATACTTTCAGTTTATAATTAAATACATTTAAAGAAATTTAAGTTATTTAATTTTTTCAAAGTTAATTTGCCCAAAATCAGGTAAATATAATTTCATTTTCTTTATAAAAATGGCGGGTAAAAAAATATCGAAAAACTCCCATTAAAATTGGGATATATTGTCAACATAATTATAAGGCTAATCCCTAACAAATAAATAAATTTTTTATAGATCGGATAAAAGTGTTTAGTAACAAATATTAAACATTATTCTTATTTGAATAGGTGAAATTATTATATTCAAAAATTAGTGAAAAGGAAGGATAAAAATAAATAAATCTTCACTCTCAGATCCACACTCTTAAATATTAACCTTAATAAGATTTAATTTTTTGCTTATTTAAATATTCCAACTATATAGTGCAATATCCATCCTAAGGATCCGTAAACAATTTTAAAAATCTGTTTTATGAGATCAATTTTTCTTTATTAATATTATTTTAAATTATTATTCATGAGGTAATAATCTAAGATTTAAAGGAAAAAATTGATTCTAAGGTTTATAAAATCCCTCAACTGTTAAATCTTGTTGGATCGGATCTCACTATGAATCCAGCCATCAATTAAAAAACTTCCTACTTTTGCTCTTTATCGATAATCCCGTAATCAACCCAAATTATTGTATTAAATAATAAAAATATGAGAGATTTAGAGAAGCTAATGAAAAAAAAGAAGTTATTTTAGATAGTTTTTTATCATAAAATAATTAATTGTACAAAATTAAAAACATTTTTGTTTTTTAGAATTTCAAGTTTATCCCTAATCTTATTTTGCACAGATCTTTGTTTAGGGCATAGTTTTTATTTATATACCAACCCGGAGAAAATAGGGAATTTTTTTAATGTTTATATAATTGGAGAGATTTCTCTTTTATTTCCTTTAAACCCATTTCTCAACCAATCAATAAATTTAATAAAAATATACATTATATATTATTTATTTTCTCAAGGTTTACATTTAGTTATTATCTTCTATATAATATATGTATCAGAAATATATTAAATTAATTTCCTTTACGTCAATTATATATTTTCAAATAGGCCAGATTTTTTTGGAAGGCAATTGAAATATTATTTCAAAAACTCTATAAATGTTAAAATGGATATAATTTTTGGACTAGGTATATAAAAAAAAAACAATTTTTATACAAACAAAGGTTA